GCTGAGCTAAATCCCCAGCCCCCATGGTAGATTCTTAAATGCAGGCTCCAGGAAGAAACTCTAATAAAGAATCTGAATTCTGCTTTTGAATTAAAATTAAAGTATTATGTATGCACACAGCTTTTTTTGTTTTGGAGACAGGATCTCACTAAGTAGTTCAGGCTGGCCTTGAATTCACTTAGGTAGCTTAAGCTGCCCTCAAACTCATGGCAATCCTTCTGCTTCAGCCTCCCAAGTGCTGAGGTTACAGACCACATGGGCCATCATGCCTGGCTCACAATGCTTACTAATTAAAAATAAATTAGGCTTTCAAACAACCATTCTCTTTTCTTTTTTTTTTCCGGTACCGGGAATCGAACTCACGACCTCACGCTTGCAAGGCAAGCGCTGTACCGCTGAGCTAAATCCCCAGCCCCTCCACTCTCTTTCCAAGTGAGAAATTATTTGGTACATTGTCTTCAGCCTCCTTCACTTGGTTGCCAAACATCTGATTTTTGTTTCTTTGTGGACGATCTATGTTTTCTCTGTGTGTGTGTGTGTGTGTGTGTGTGTGTGTGTGTGTGTGTGGTGCTGGGGTTTGACCCCGGGCTTCAGGCATACTATGCAAATGCTCTACCACTGAGCCTAGAACCTTTTCTTTCTCGTTTTTTACTGGGGGAGGAGGGAATTGAGCAACAACACTATTACCAACCAGAGCATGCCCTGGATACAGGATAATTATGGAAAAAGGCAGCCGGCACTCACCACTCCGCCACATGCCTAACAAAACCCCACAGAAGCTAAAATGCTGACCAGAAGTCTGGATCCGCTGGAAAATATCTGCAGATCTCAAAAGGTCTCTTATTTCAGAGAGCATGACGAAAAGTTGCGGCCTCAGGGACTGTTACAGTCTTGTGTCCGTCCCCCACCTACTTCCTGGCCAAACAATGAAAGTTAAGGGTAGAGCGCTAAGAGGACTGTTAGTTGTTAACATTTAAAATGACATTCATTAACCTCAACAGAAATTTTAGTAGGCTCTTGGTCACTGTAATAGTTTTTTTTGTTTTGGGGTTTTTTTTTCATGGTACTAGAATCTGAATCCTGGGTCTCCACCCTGAGGTACATCCTGAGTTTTTCATTTTTTATTTTGAGACAAGCTCTCACTAAATTGCTGAATTGTCCAGGCTGGCACTGAACTTGTGACCCTCCTGCCTCAGCCTTCGCTGTGCCGGGATTAAAGGCGTGTGCCGCCACGCCCACCTCAATTTTAAATTGAGAAAAAAATAAACCATTTGGGTGCCACCCGGGGACCTGCAGTAAGCAGTGGACACGAGAGGCAGGGCCGCTGCTGCAGCTTTGTCCAGGGTCTTGCTGGCTGCAAGGACACAAGGGCAGGGGTCGGGGCTCCCCTCCCACCCAGCCCACATCTGTCCTCCGCCCGAGCCGGAGAGATGTTTCTCCTAGAGACGCCACTCGGGAGCGCAGGCAGTTCTCACGCAGCCTGAGAGCAGGGCGAGGGAGGGCTGTGGCCCGGAGCCAGTCTGGTTCCGAACCGCCAGCATTGCAGAGCTACTGGTTCCCACCTCAGCCCGCCCAGCCCGGCTCAGGCTCCCCATCACAGCCCACTCTGCCTCTGCAAGGTCCCCTGGCTTCTTCCAACCTCCGGGCTCAGGGCTCCCTCCCCTGCAGCCTGCTGACCCCTC